ATTCAGAGTTACTGAATCAGTCAATTGAAGCAGCTATGCCGAAACGGTATGTCCAGTTCTTGCATTGATTTTTGTTAAAATTTTCATAATTTGAGACAAATTCGCTTATCATTCGTTACTTTGATACGGCGTTTCCGTCACTGATGCACTGTCATAATTTGGTATGCTGGCATAATTCAACCGATGAGCGTACCCAGTGGGGGTAACGAAACAATCTCATCCTTTCCATAATTTTTTCATATCATATACAAGATTAGTTACATTCCCACAGTCTTCGCATGAGCAATCTTCAGCCAACAACATTCCTTCATATTGATGCGTCAAAAACGCTGTATTTGTTTCGGAAGTAACGGAAATCTGCAACCTTTTTTGCTTCTCATAAAGAATTAATACGAAGTGTGAACATGAGCACGAAAATACGTGTTGTTTTTGGCTCAAGAGGTAATTTTATTCTACATTTTTAATCAGCAAATGCTGAAAAGATGGCAAAATGGCAGCAATTATTGGTCTCGTTACACGTCTTTTGTTGATTTAGAGTGGAAATCAATGAAGAATTTCTTGCTGATATGATTGAGCAGGCACAACCGAAACCATCACCCTCAAAACGTCGCGACGGTGACGCAGGGCGTAACTTTTCGCGAGCAACCACGGCCAAAGTACGATCCGGTGCATCGAGTACCAAAAGTATGAAATTTGAAATTTTTTTTTTAGGAAAATAGACAGTATTCTGTTTATTATTAGCTGAAATTGTCGGTATTTTTGATATCATTAAGTTTTCCCGGATTGTCGGTGTGTGGGGGAGAAAAGTTTTCACTGGTATTCCTAAAATATACTTGTGGGCTTGGCGCAGTTTACTACCACCAGCTTTCTTTGTTTATTTTCATGGAATCATTTCTTCTGGGATCATTCGAACAGTCACTTGAATGCATTTTCAGTTGCTGATAATCAACCTCCACCAGGCCCTGTGGATTTAGGTCTCTCAGGTGGCAGCGGATATTAGTGTTGATAGAATAAAGCTCATATTTAAGACAAATAGCTGGCGATAGGCCTCTCATCTCATCTTTT